GCGGGTGTCTCGGTTGTCAACCTCAATGGTCGTTTAGCTTTTGGTGTTCGACCTCAGTGGCGGGTCACTCGTTTTTTGACCTCAATGGTCGTTCAGCTTTTGGTGTTCGACCCCAGTGGCGGGTCACTCATTTTTTGACCTCAGTGGTTGTTTAGCATTTGATGTTCGACCACATTGGCAGGTCATTCGATTTTCGACCTCAGTAGTAGGTCTTTCGGTGTTCGACCTCAGAGGCAGGTTTCTCGGTTTTTGACCTTAGTGGTCATTCAGTGTTCATTTGGGGTCTCGATGCTCATTTGGAGGTTTGGTGACTGTGGTGATCGATGATTTATTCAATTTATAGCCTCAGTGGCAGGTTGACGGAAATAGCCCGAAAAGGCATTTCACTCTTGGATCGAGTCATGCTTACTCGACCAGAGTGAGGGGACTAGATGATATAGGATATTATACTAGACCGGGTTTAATGGATAAAAAGGGAATATATTGAAGAATAAGCCTACACATAGCCAGGACACGTCGCATGATGCTATTGGACAAGCCCAACTTGGGCCATAAGGTGCACTCCCCCTATAAAATGGGGCTAAGGTATCGCATTCTCTCTACATTCATAATTATACTCTTGGGATTTGGAGTGATACTGACTTGATCGTCGGAGGCCCGACGCCAGGACCCCTCCCGGCGTTCCCGGCCTTGGGTTCTTGCAGGTCCGGTGGCCACTCGAGTTGAAGCAGCCAGGGTGAAATCTATTTCCCTTCAAGACCCAAATGCTACAAGATGCAGCATGATCTTTATACTGGGAGAGTGTTTAACTTGAATCATTCCGGTGTTCCTGTGAACGTTCATGCTGCAAACTCCCATAAATGTTTTCAAAAAATGACAAGTCTGGGTTGCTAAAAATTCTTTTAAATGTTTTGCTTCAGTACTGTCTCTCAAAATCTCACTTGAAAGAAAATGGTATCTTGACAGTGGGTGTTCACGACACATGACTGGTGAACTAGCATACTTGTCTAATATAAAAACTGGTTCGAATGGGGAAGTCACATTTGAAGATGGTGTGAGCAACAAGGTAGTTGGAACGGGTTGCTTGAATTTGGGTGGTCTTTCTAGATTAGATGATGTGTTGCTTGTAAATGATTAAAAGGCTAATCTTTTGAGTGTGAGCTAGCTGTGTGATCAAGGTCTAAGTGTCAGTTTCTCGCGTGATAAGTGTTTTGTGAAAAATAATGGAGGTACATGCGTTATTAGTGGATCTCGATCAACTGACAATTGCTATCTTGTTGACTTCAATGAAAAATGTTTTCAAGCAACTGTTAGTGAATCTGAAATCTGGCATCAACGCTTAGGTCATATTGGATACTTTCACTTGGTCATATATCTAATGCAGGTGTAGTTCGCGGAGTTCCAAAAATTGTTATGAAGGAGCTGCCAATTTGTGAACCATGTCAACTTGGAAAGCAAACCCGAGCTCCACACAAAAGCTTAAACCATATTGCTTCAAAGCAAGTTCTGGAATTGCTTTACATGGACTTAATGGGACCAATTCAGATTGAGAGCTATAAAAGTAAGAAATATATTTTCATGTGCATAGATGATTTCTCTCGCTACACTTGGGTTGATTTTTTACGTGAGAAATTTGATACCTTCATTGCCTTTAAAAATCTTTGCCTAAAACTTGACAATGAAAAGGGATTTCCCATAACCAGAATTAGGAGTGATCATGGCCGTGAATTTGAGAATAGTGAATTTTTAATCTTTTGTACTTCACACTGTATTTTTCATGAGTTTTCGGCCCTGAAGATACCCCAAAAAAATGGGGTTGTTGAAAGAAAGAATCGTACACTTCAAGAAATGGCAAGGGTGATATTAAACTCCAAGAAGATCTGTCATCGATGGTGGGCAGAGACTATCAACACAACATGCTACCTAGTTAACAGAGTGTATTCGTCGAGGTATGGGATTGACTTCTTACGAGCTTTGGAAAAGTAAGAGTCCCAACCTTTTCATGTATTTGGGTGTAAGTGCTTTATATATAATGATCGAGAACAACTTGGGAAATTTGATGCTAAAAGTGACTTAAGGTTCTTTCTCAGATATTCAAATAACAGTCGAGCTTACCGTGTTTACAACACAAGTACCTCCACTGTTATAGAATCCATGAATGTAATTTTTGATGAAAAAACTCCAAATGTTGATACTTCTGTGACTGTTGACCTACTTGAAAGTACTGTTAGTATGCAGGACACCCCAGTTGAGACCTTAAATAGTGATAAAGAAAGTGTGCATGACGAAGGTTCATCGGAAGGCTTACCTGAAAATCAGACGGAATACGATGTTCCCACCACTGGAGATCAAGTTGAACCAAAAAGGGATCCACCCTTGAGGATTCAGAAGGCTCACCCATCTGAACTTGTTATTGGAGACTTGAATGAGAGGGTAACCAGGAACTCAAGAACCTCGACCAGAGGACTCATGGGCATTTCTCACTTTGCATGCTACACCTTACTAATAGAACCTAAGAATGCTAAAGAGGCTCTAAAGGATGAGTGTTGGATCACAGCCATGCAAGACGAATTGGAGCAATTCAGCCGAAACAATGTCTGGGAACTCGTTCCAGAACCTTCATCTGGAAATGTTATCGGAATCAAATGGATCTTTAAAAACAAAACCAATGAGTTCGTAATGTGACTCACAATAAGGCCAGATTGGTTGCACAAGGGTACACTCAGACTCAAGGAGTGGACTTTGAAGAAACCTTTGCTCCAGTTGCTCGGCTTGAATTGGTACGTATATTTCTGTCAATTGCGTGTCTAATGAAGTTCATTGTTACCAGATGGATGTAAAGTCGGCATTTTTGAATGGAATATTGCACGAGGAAGCATAAGTGAAGCAACCAGAAGGGTTCAAAGAACCCTAGTAACCCTAATTATGTCTACAGACTCAAGAAGGCACTGTATGGTCTGAAACAAGCACCTCGTGCTTGGTATGAAAGACTTACTATGTACCTTCTGGAGAAAGGGTTCAAACGAGGGGGAGTTGATCAGACCTTCTTTGCACTGAAGACCAATTAAGACTTGCTTGTGGTTCAAATATATGTAGATGACATCATCTTCGGGTCAACCTCGAAGAAACTGGTCAATCACTTTGTTGAGTTGATGTCTTCTGAATTTGAGATGAGTCTGGTAGGTGAAATTTCTTACTTCTTGAGTCTTCAAGTGAAGCAAGGTAAAGATGGTATCTTTTTGCATCAAAGTAAATATGCTAGAAACCTTGTTAAAAAGTTTGGTCTTGAAAATGCAAAATCACCTCAGACTCCTATGGGCACTCACATAAAAGTGTCTAAAGATGATGAAGGTACATCTGTAGGTCAAACTCTTTACCGTAGTATGATTGGTAGTCTTTTGTATCTTACAGCCAGCAGACCTGACATTTGTTTTAGTGTGACTTTGTGCCAGGTACCAGGCTGCTCCCAAAGAATCTCATTTGTAGGCAGTCAAACACATCATCAAATATGTTGAAGGTACATCTGACTATGGGTTATTTTATTCTGCTGATGCGAACCTACATCTTGCAGGTTACTGCGATGCAGACTGGGCCGAAAATCTCGATGATAGGAAAAGTACTTCAGGTGGTTGTTTCTATATAGGGTCAAACCTGGTCTCATGGTTCTGCAAGAAACAAAACTACATCTCCCTATCTACAGCCGAAGCTGAGTACATTGCCGCAGGGAGTTGTTGCTCCCAATCATTCTGGATGAAGCAAATCCTCTTTGAGTATGGTATGAAGGTACATTCGGCTCAGCTTTTTTGTGACAACACTAGTGCAATAAATATCTCGAAAAATCCCGTCCAACATTCTCGGACCAAACATATTGACATTCGCTATCATTTTATTCATAATTTGGTAGAGGACGGAAGTATTGTGTTGGATCATGTACCTACAGATGATCAGCTTGCTGACATTTTCACAAAAGCACTTGATTCGAAACATTTTCTGTCTCTAAGGAAATCCTTAGGAATGTGTGCTATATAATATCTATGCATTGTGTCAGTTGCATTTGTATATATCTATATTAGTGTCGCATATAGGATACTTTTTGCATTGAGGCATTGTAGTATTTAGGTTCATCCCTAGAAACTTCTTTGAATTCTTTATTGTCGGATTTGTTGATTGGTGGTCTACGGATTCTAACTGGTCAGTTTTGTGGAGCTCGTCATGATGATCATTTAAACATAATTGTAAGAGCTGCTCTTGTGAAAATAAGCATCGGACAACTATCGCACGAGGTGTTTCCTTGATCACCTGTGAAACGAGTGACGTGCTTAATAATTGTTTGTCCCATTTTTGTTGCATTTTTACTTGTTCTTTTTCATTTTTTTTTCCCCCGTTTTAGATCATTTCTTTCTTTCTTAGGACGTTTTGTGTTTTATTGCATGTTTTTCTTTAGTTCGAGTCTTTTGTGTGTTTTTCGGTTATTCTCCAGTTTTCTGCATTTTTCTCGTCGTTGGTGTGTAGGTCCGGTGCATCGTGAGGAACAGGTATGGCTCAAAAACTGACCAGGTAATCGTGGTCGCGTAGGATGATTCATTGGCAACACACAGGAAGAAGCGAATTTGAATTCCGAGCCAAGACAAGGACGAACGAACCCGAAACGTGAAGTCGAGCAAGCAATCCGAGCTTCAGCCACCCTCCACGCCATCTCCACGCCGTGTCGCACGCCACGGCCACCTTTCAGAGGTTGCCTTCCCTCCTCCACGCCGCGACCAAGCACCACGCCGCGGCAGCTTGCTCTACCACGCCGTGAAGACCCTGCCGCGCCGCGAGGCCTGCATTCCACCACGCCGCGACAGCATCACGAGGCCGACTGAGACTCCCAGCATTTCCTCCTCCACGCCCCGCTTCCTACCACGCCACGGCCAAGCCCTCCGCCCCTCCACGAATACCCGCCACGCCGCGATGAGGTCCTCTTCCGCGTTGCGCTAGAAGTCCCACGCTGCGATGACCACCCTCCACCACGCCGTGCAGAAGATCCCGCGCCGCGGTAGAGCCTCACTCCACGCCGTGCCGCTGCCTTCCACCACGCCGTGAGGGATTGCCGCACCGCTGCAGCTGCTGCCTCCATGCCATGCCTCTTGCCGCGCCGTATCCCTGTGAGGCACTTTGCTTTGTTTCTTGCGAACGCCAAGAATAAAAGTGCTATTTTGACCAAGATACACTAAACACGCGAAAACATATTCTTCACCCAAGATTTTTGGTCGGCTTTTTCTCTTAAAGACCACCCTCAGACTCTCCCCTCTTTCTCTTTTTCTTTTCTTTTTCCTTCTTCTCTTCCCCGGTTCTGCACTCCTTCTTCTCCTTCTTTTATTTCCTTTTTCTTCTTCCTCTTCTTTTCTCCTTTACCCTCTTTTCTTCACCATTTTCTCTCTTAGCATTTTATTTTATGTTTTTGGTTGGTTGGTAAGGTTAGAAGAAAGGCTCATTTTCTTCCTAGCTCGTGGACTCGGTTTGTACTTGTACTAGACATTTGGGATTTTATTAAGTGTAAGTTTTCTCTTTCATTTTGGGTTATGATGATGATGATGACTTTTCTTAATATGAATTCTTGTGTTGATATTGCTATGTGTGGCTAATCCATTAGCTAGGGGTTAGGGGCTCCGGTTTGTTCTTGTTTATGTGTATTTCGATTGCTCAATCTTGTGCGAGTTGAATTGATTAGGAATCAATGAATTTTTGCTTGATTAATTGATATAACCAAAGGGTGACACTTCGGTCTTGCGATTGGATATTAATTTGTTGAGTTAGGATTTGTTGATTCTACATGATTAGTTGATTAAATTTCTTCTAATTAATTTAGCGATTTTCAGAACCGATAAGGGAGAAGTCGTAGAACTAGGCTCGTACGAGGTAGACATGTTCGGAGACGTATTGTCTATGTGTTAATTGTTTCGTTGATTCGCTCGTTTATGTTTATTCGCATGTTATGAAAAGTTATTGTGTTTAAACCGCTGAATGAGTTAATTAGTCGAGCCTCTTAACCGAGTTGTTGATTGCCGTTAAATGTGTGTAGAACCGGAAGCGATTATCCCCGATACCCTAGCCCGTTTACATCTTCTTGTATTTCGTTTATGAGTTTTGACATTTACTTAGCGTTATTTTCGAATTATTAGTTGATAATCAAAACCCAACAATTTGAGTTAGAATGTTTAGGTTTATTTTCGCTTTTGTGAATTGAATAAACGTACGATTTAATCCGGCTAACCTTCCTCGAGAGACACGACCCGGTGTTCGAATCTTTCGATTCTACTCCGGTAAAAATTACTACAACAAAATGGCACCGTTGCCGGAGAAGGTTTAGGAATTATTTCGCACGTCTATTCATTTTATTTTTGTGTTTCTCTTATTCTTATGATTTATTGTTTTTGTGTTTCTCTTTATTCCTTGTTTTTGTTTTTCCTAATTATTAGTTAGTATTTTGGGGTGTTTGTCATTTACTCTCTTTCGTCATCAGGTGCTCGTAACGTGTTTGTTGTTTTTGTTCATGCGTACTAGGAGTGGTCGTGTACTCATTCCGAACGACGAATCCACTCACAAGGACTTACGAGACTTGTTTGCCAATCTTACTCTCGAATCATCAAACTCCGACAATCAAAGTGACATGGCCCAAAACGAGGAAGAGGAAGTGAACAACCCCCCGCGGTCTCTCCTCCGTGATTTGGCCCAACTGGTGATTGGGCCGGTTACTTCATGCATCTGGTTGGGACCGGCGGCTCGGAACTATGAGCTAAAGACGATCCACTACAACCAGCTGCCATCCTTCCACGGTTTACCCAACAAGGACCCACTCCATTTCATCCGGGAGTTCTATAATGTCCTCCAGACCTTCTCTCTCCACAACTTGAACGAAGAGTAGCTGAAAATGAGATGTTTTCCTAAGACACTCAAGGACCGGGCTAAGGCTTGGTTTATGACGCTTGCTCTCGATTCCCTCACCACTTAAGAGCAAGTGTATTCGAAGTTCATCGGGAGATACTATTCTCACCAGAAGACAAGAGCTCCGGTCGCAAACTGTCTCCTTCGCTCAACAACCGAACGAGCCACTCCACTAGGCGAGGGAGTGCTTCAAAGACCTCCAGAGACAATGTCCACACCACAAATTCCCATATGCCTTACTGATGAACAGCTTCTACGACTCCCTCCACAAAAATCTTCAGTACATGGTGGACAATGCGGCCGGTGGAGATATCGGGGCAAAAACGGCCAACGAGATGATGGAAATTTTTGAGACGATGAGCGCAAACTCGTCTCAACAGAGCAGCCGAGAAAAGAAGATGATGGTGAAGGAGGTGGCTCCCGGACAGGATATGATTGTTCATCAGATAGCCGAGCTCACGAAGCAAATGCGGCTACTGAATGCCAGAGGAGGTTCACCGGTTCAGACCATGGTCGTGAGTGTGTGCGGTGCATGCGGAGCTCAGGGACACAGTTCTAATGTGTGCTCGTCGGCTATCGAGCCGAATTGTGGAGGACACTATGCGGATGCAAACGCTCTCCAAGAATACCTGAACCGGCCGGTCAACGACTCTCACTTGAACACATACACCCTGGGGTGGAGAAATCGTCCCAACTTCTCGTGCTTTAACAACACCTAGCAACCCCGACAAAACTTCATGCAACAACAAAACTGTCCAAACTTCGCTTCCCAACAACACATGAAACCGAACTACCATCAACAACAACAACTGCAAGTCGGCCCTAGCTTATTCACCAACGATAGATGGGACCAGTTCCTCCAGTTTATGAAAAACCAAGAGTCGGCTATCAAGTGTCTGGAGACGCAAATAGGTCAACTTGCCATGCGAGTCGGGGTCCTCAAGGCCGAAAGGGACAAGGAAAAGTTGTCGAGTCAGCCGGAGCACGTGAATGCGGTGACCGTGATTGTGCCCGACTTGGAGAAAAAAGAGAAAGAGAGCCCGAGGAAGCAAGAGAAAATTGAAGAAGCCCCAGTGACACCACCACTTGAGTCTACCTTACACAGATCCCCGAACCCGTACAGACTTATACTCCCCTTCCCAGGCCGACTTTTGGAGGAGAAGGACCGCAAGATGATTCGGGACCTCCATGCGATGTTAGTTAAGGCCAATGTCGACCTATCTCCGCCCGATGTGTTGGTGGATTTTGTTCAAATTTATCCGTGTCTGTTTTTTACCCTACTTCCTCGAAGTTTCAAAGGGTGTTCATAAGAAATTGCATTGTTGTATTTTCGTCGTCCGCTATAAACTCGGTGTTGGGTTTGGCTGAAGGTTCTTCATTTTCCCCTCTGAATGATGATCTAGATGAGGTTGCTAGTACACTGACTGGTAGGAAGTTGAGCAAGTGGCTTGCTCCTGGGCTGTTTGTTAAGAGCCTGACTCCTCCTGCGAATGCGTTATAGAAAATCAGTGCATCTAACTGGAAACCTACTACACACAAGCAATTTGTTACTCCTACTCAGGCCCGTGTCATTTATCGTGTTCTTTGTGGTGTTCCCTTTGACCTTGACTCTGTTATCTTTGACACTGTGGTATCTTTTGCTGAAATTTCCAAACCACATAAGCTGTTGCTCTTTCCTTCTACTATTTGTGCCATTCTTTTTTAAAGCTGGTGTGAAAATGGACCCTCGTGTGGGTGATAACATTTCTCCTGTCTTAAAGCCTCTTGCTCTTGCTGGTGTTAAATCTGCTCCTCCTCGCCCTTCCCTGGTTAAGGCCTCGGATGTGCCTTCACAACTTTGAGGTTTTCTGAACCAACAAGTGGTCGTACTCTCTTGACTTAAAAAGAAAATTGCTGATCAGAAGAGGTATTACAAGGAGGTACTCGGTGCGATGAAGTCGCGTGCCCCTATGGTGACTAAATCCAAAAAGGGGGAGAACAAGAAAAAGGTGGCTGCAGGTAAGGGGGAGACAAAGAAGGTGCATGCTGGTAGTAAGGGGGGGAAGTCAAAGGCTGGGGAGAAGTCCAAGGTTGCTGTTGCGGCCAACGGAAAAAGAAAAGTTGTCGCTGTCAAAGAAAATGAGAAGGCGCTGGAATCTGAAGAAGGTTCAGATGCTGCTGAGGAAGATGAAGTGGACTCAGATGCTGAGGATGAGGAGAGGAAGCTGCTTCAGAGGAAGACACTAAAGCTGGATCAGAAGAAGGTGATTCTAATGATGAGGAGACTGAGGATGAAGATGAATCCCCTTAGACCTGTGGATGTCCTTTTGGCCTGTGCTGTGATGAAAATCTAAAAACTATTCTGATATGTTTTGTGATGTCATGAACTATTTTTTATTTTCTTTTTGATGACTGCTTAGGAATATTATTATTATGAGCGCTTTATTATTTTGTCAGGATCTTAAGTTGCATATTCTCTTAGAATGAATTTTGTATGTTTGCAAGACTTTTGCCATGCAGGTTCTTAAGAAAGGTTTTCGATTTATCTGCCAAAGGGGGAGATTGTAAGTTTTGAGGTTTGGCAGCAAATCGATGAACCTTCTTTTGTTATCAGGATCAGACATCAAAGAGATAGTTACGGGAAGTCTGTCTAAGTATACTAAGATTAGTTTTGATCATTTTGTTTATCGGTTTATTCTTATGCACGTTTCATTATGGCAGGTCAAAAGAAAAGATCGTGAATCACTCCATTTATGATCACCTTCCATGTGCACCTACTTACCATAAGCGCGAGATCCGAATTGAGTAACCAGGACTTTCCGTAATATGACATGACTTGGCTGGGAAGCTAGAGAAAGAACTTACCATATGAAGGATGAGGATAAAAGGACGACGAGAACATTTTTTTGGTGTACCTTTTTTTGACATTCTCTTTTCTTAAAAAGATAGTTTGATGTATCAGGCATCTGGGATTTTATTTTCTTTGAGTGATTTTGGTAAGCAAGATGATCATTGTTGAGAGAAAAAATACAGAGTGTTCGGAGGTTCACTCTGTTTTTAGTTTGAGGGATTCAAACGTGAAAAACCACAAGGGATTTGTAGTCGGATAAGTAGTAGTGCATTTTATTGTTCAAGTAGAGTGTAGAGGGAGTCTATACTGTAAACCCTTGAAGAATGAGTGAGTTGATTGCATTAATGAAAGAGATCCGAAGGGAGAGTGGGACGCTCTCCTGAAGGTTCAATTTTCAGTGAATCTGCTTCCGCAATTGTTTGAATCTTCATTTACTTCAGTTTGGTTAAATTGTATGTAACTCTGGATACTTCACGTACAAGTATCAAACTACAGAAAGTAATCATTAGTACGAATGCTAGGTTCTTGGAAGAAGACAATATTATGGATCATAAGACCAGTAGTAGACATGTTCTGGAGAAGATAAAGGGTCTTAATACTTCAGTACCAAGTGCACCTGATGTTACACCGCAGGTTACTGAAACACGTATCACCGACGATGCACCTGTGCCGGTAGTACCTCGTCGCAGTGGAAGGGTTATCAGGTAGCCCAAACAATTTGTTTTTTTGGGAGAGTCTTCTGAGACTGTCCCGGATGAACTTGATATCGACCCATGGACCACTGATGAATCAATCCAAAATCAGGACGCAGTGTCTTAGCAAATTGCGATGGAAGCTGAGATAGAGTCAATGGACTCAAATCAGGTATGGGAGTTTGTAGAGCCACCTAGTGGCGTTCGTGTCATAGGATGCAAGACCTGCGTCCTTTCATTAACCGCTTTACTGAAATCGCGGGTCAACAATGTTGATGCTGAAGTAACCTTTGTAGTGGGTCTATAATAGAAAGAGATGATCTGATGGAAAGTTAGAGACCTTACCAACTAGGCTTGTTGCGCAAGGCTATACTCAGAAAGAAGGGATCGATTATGAGGAAACCTTTTCGTCGGTAGCCATGCTCAAATCCATCAGGATTCTCTTGGCTGTAGTCGTTTATATGGATTATGAGGTAGAACAGATGGATGTTAAGACCACTTTCCTTAACCGGAATTTGCACGAGGATAAGGGTTCATTGCAAAAGGACAAGAGCATCTGGTCTGTAAGCTGAAGAGGTCCATTTATGGGCTGAAGTAAGCTTCGCGGTCTTGGAACATGTCCAGATGTATGAATTTACTCACTGTCTAGATGAGCACTGTGTGTACAACAAAAGTGATGGAAATGTGGTAGTGTTTCTTGTGCTATACGTAGATGACATTCTTCTCATTTGAAACAGTGTGAAGAAGTTGTCAGACATTAAAGTATAGGTATCCAACCAGTTTGATATGAAGGATATAGGAGAAGTATGACACATTCTCGGGATCAAGGTCATTCGAAACTGTGAGAAGAGAATGTTGCGCTTATCTCAATCTACATACATAGATATTGTCTTGGCGCGTTTCAACATGTAGGATTCAAAGAAAGGGCATCTGCCCTATCGACATGGAATCCCTCTGTCTAAAAGGATGTCTTACAAGGCACATCAAGAGATAGAGGACATGAAGGCGGTTCCTTATGTATCGGCAGTAGGAAGCCTTATGTATGCAATGTTTTGTACGCAGCCAGATATCTGTTATGCCGTGGGCATGGTAGCTAGATATCAAAGTAATATAGGACCGGAACATTGGTCTGCTGTAAAACATATACTCAAGTACCTTAGAAGGATTTACTAGGCAGACGAGTTACTCCTGTTGGGTTACACTGATTCTGATTTCTAGTCAGTTCGGGATGAAAGTAAATCCACATCTGGGTTTATGTTTACTCTAGGAGGAGGAGCCATAGTTCAGAGGAGTGTCAAGCAGAAATTCGTGGAGGACTCAACCATGGAAGCCAAATATGTAGCAGCCTCAAAGGAAACAAAGTAAGTGGTGTGGCTAAGAAATTTCATATTAGACCATGACGTGGTACCGAGTTTGCCCACTACAAGTACGGTTTTCTATGTCAACAGCAGAGCAGTAGCAAACTCGAAGGAACTACAGACTCATAAAGCGAGTAAACACATAGAGCGCAAGTACCACCTGATACTAGAAATCGTTGGACAAGGGGAAGCCGTTGTTGCCAAGATAGAGTCAGAGGACAACCTAGCATATCCTTTTATGAAGAGCATACTGGCGAAGGTATTTGACTGACTCGTAGAAGGAATGGGAGTCAGGAGTAGGGCAACTTGATAAACTAGTCTTTGGGAAATAGATTGGAAGAATATATACATCGACTTAAGAAGAAGTTATCTAGGTTGGAATTTCAATCTCTTAAAAATGCACAAAGTCGTGAAAATATATTTCTTTTGTGAAGAAAATGGTTTTGGGGCGTGTATTTCTATGAGAATGGAGTTTGATCATCTAAGGGAACTGATGGATTTATAGGTTAAAACATGGACCTTAAGGAGGTGCTAAATATGGGCTTCTCAAGTATGAGTCTAACTGTAGGCCAAGCTCACTCTGTTATACTTGAATAATGTTTCATTCCACTAAGGAATTATTGTCACACTCCCCATATAGCTCCAAATTATATTTGAGTCTCTAATTATAATTACTCGATTTGCCTTTCCGATTTTAAGATATAATATTTGTTAAATAATTTAATTAATTGATTTATTAATTTAAAGATAGTACCACTCAGTTCTTTATTATTATGTCGAAATTAAATTTGCCGGTTGGGCTTGACATAACAATCCTTATTGAGTTCACTTCCAGACATCATCAAACTAACACCCACGATGACTGTATATAATCGAACGACACACCATACAAACAACATCACTACCCAACTCACCTAGATTATTAGTCCAACAAAATAGACCTCACATTTTAGTGAATCAAAGTAGCAGCTACTGAGTGCCGGTGCATGTTTACATCTTACGAGTTAAGAGTACGCAGCAATTAGCCGACGTATAATTTGTTTACTTGGCCAGTATAAAACAAATTTATTCTCTCTTGGATTTGTTGAGTATATTTGAGATGTAATAGTGTAATTCATTAGTCAAGATACGACCGATCCAAATTATTCTACAACCGTTCACGATGGTTTATTCATTTCCATCTAGAATGTGAACCAAAATTTATGCTTTACAAGTAACCTATTTTATGATATAATGTACATCCATGATAAACCATATATATCCAAAGGTTAAACATTAGAACGTTGAAATTTTTAATTAAACATGATTCTCATTCAAATGGGAATAGTGATAACAAAAGGCCGAGGTTTCAGTACATACATTAACTTATAGTACCTACAGTAGGGGCTGCTGTGAGTGAGATCGTATTCTCGCTTTTTGGGAATGGGGGTAGGTCATGCAAAGATGCGTGTATCCCCATGCCTTCTTAGGATGTGGAATACCTCCTTCAGGAGTATGGTTAAAGGCGCATATTGCACATACTTGTACCTCTTTTTGCCACATTGCTCTACTCTTGAACATTTGTTTGAAGACCTCTTGTCATATAGACGAGGCTTCTTCTGAATTGGCTTTACCTTGACCTTTCCATTGTGTAGAAAATTAGCTTATGCCTCTTCCATGTTGATATATTTTGCACACCGTGCCAGCAGCTCGTCAAAAGACCTTGTTGGCCTCTTGGATAATGAGTTCCTACATGCCCCTGGTCGAAGATCCCTGGTGAGACCACCTGCCCTGATCTCCTCAGACGCTGAAGGGACCTCTACACACTCCTTAGTGTAATGAGCCACATCTTTTCTAACGGTCTCCCCCTTCTTCTGTTGCATGCTCGTGTTTTCTTGCACTAGAAAACTTATTTATGAACTAGGAGCTCAACCTCTCAAACATGTATATTGACCCAACCAGCAATTGATGAAACCAGTCCCATACTTACCCCTTTAAGGTAGTCAGAAAAGCTCTACATCAAGCTTCGTCACTATATCGAGGTAGAGCTGCTATGTTCTTGAATCTCCTGAGATGTCTAGCTCAGTCTGTTGAACCATCATAATACATGTTTAGCTCATAAAAGTTGTTCGGTAGGTCAGACTTCAAGACCTCCTCAGTGAATGAATGCCAATGGATTCTAGGCATTACTCGGCGCTCTACCCGGGCCTGTAGCTCGCGCAACTAGGCTGTCCATTTCTCTAAAGTAGCATCGCTGGTTGGTCGGGACATGGTAATAGACATTGATACCGACCTCTTCTCTACCTCTTATGCTCTTCTATAATGCTTTGGTTGCGGAACTACTGGATTTTCCTGGCTGGGTGCTCGAGCTTGAGCCACCGCTTAAGCCACGATCCTATCCAGCTCTACCCAAGTAAGTTGAATAACGTGATATTCCCTACGAGCCTTCTGCCCCACGTGGTTCTCTTGCTGCCCCTTTGTCCCTTGGGTTGAGCCTCTCCAAGGATATCAAGTTGTTGCTCTTCGACTTATCACCAGGTCCAACAAGCTAGGCCACCACGACCTGCTCCTGATTTACCACCCCCCTTCCCCCCGGTGGTCACCCTCTACAGGGGAGCAGATGACTCGTGCCTGGAAGTAGGTTGTGGCCTGAGATCTATTATTGGGGTTACGCCTATATACGGTGCCAACGAGCTTGCCCTAGATGTGACCTAGCATATTGTAACTTTTAACCATATAAGTGGTGGTCCTTGTCCTTTAGGGACTCGTGACGCCCAAGCTCTTCCATATCCTTCCCAATGTTCTTTCGTAAGTTTTCTTCTGCCGTGATCTCTAAACTTATGACAACTTTACGAGAAAAAAAGCTTATTCCCCTATAGACAGTAAATTCTAGATCATTTTTACAGATAGTGCCAATTCGATATGCAAATTGCTCCCGAACCAGATTAAACCAGCACTACCACGAACGGTCCTTTGTCTAGAACTTCGGTGACCTACAAATATGTAGGGGAGGGGTCCCGACGAAAAACCACCGTGCTCAAGTCAGTTCTCACTCGTGAGTGTATTAAAAATAGTATGCAGAAGCGTAATAATGTGTAATAGCCCAGTTTTGTATTAATAAAAGTGATCAGTTTTAGTTCCAAGTTTGAATTATTTCCTTTTATTAATATTGCTCGTTTTCAGTTCCGAGCCCCGTTATTCAGCTATTCTATCCCAGTTATTAATTCCGGTCCATTTATCTCAGTAATAGATTTTATTCAGTCGGAATTAATTATCTCAGTTGACGAATAATCGAAATCGAGTATGTTTCGATAAATCGTCCCAGTTAAGCCGTGTCCATAACCGAGTCGTTCGGTCGCGAGTATCGCGCCTAGTTCGCGCCTAGCCAATTCTCGAGACCTAGTTGTCTCGAGTCTTGTTCGAGCCCTAGCCATGCTCATAGCCTTACTTAGAATATTTTCTAAGTATGAGATCATTTTTATCAAGTTTTCGATATCATTCCCTCGGCCTAAGTAACCCCGCACCAAGCTCGTGCACAGGTCCGAGTCCTCGGGCCTAAGTGTCGCGTGCCTCGCCAAGCCGCGAGTGCCCAAGTCATGGTTAGTAATGTGGCATATTTCTTCTAAGTGTTTTGGTTCCCTAGACGAACCACGAGTTCAGCCCTAACCAAGGGTTATCCTCGGCCAAGCATTTCCGAGCCCGGACCATGAGCCGCGCCCTAGTGCCCGCACCTTAGCCTCGCGCGAGTCAAGCATGGTGGCCCAAGTCATGGCCAAACACCTTTGGAATTTTTCTAAGTGTGGAGAGTTTTATTCCAGCCCTAAGCATGTGGCATTCTCGGCCCAAGTCTATTAGCACGCGCAGCCAAGCAGTTTCCGTGCCCAGCTCGCGCCCAGGGCCCAGCAGCGCCCAAGCCCAGCGCGCGGGTCCAATTCTTTAGCCCAATGTGGATTGTTTCGTGGCCCAATTTCCATGGCCCAATTCATGCGAGTATTAGCAGGTTAATGAGGGTTTAATTGAGCCTAATTAGCCCTAATGAAGCTTAAGCCTAATTCAAAGCCAACAACTCCAAATGTAGATCATGTGCTTGGAATATAATATTGGTATGTGTCATGCCTTGTCCTTCACCATGCTCCAGTCCGACCAGGGCATATTTTAAGCTTGGATTCTCTGTATTATTCCCCCAAAGACCGTGCCAAATCAGGTCCCAAGACCACCTAAGCCATGGCCATGCGCATGGAAGTTTGGAGCACCACTCATGTCCCCCTTGGCTCCTTTGGTTGCTCCGCCCCTCCTCTCTATTTAAAGGACTCTTCCCAGCTCTTGGACACTTTAGCACTTAAGTATTTTGAGGGAGAAGTTGAGCAAAGCCGAGCCTAAGTTCTCAGCCCTTAGTCGCGCGCGTGCACCCGAGGAGGAGGAGGTTCGCTCGTTGGCTTGTTCCAGCAACATTCTCTCGAGCCTTATGATTATCCAAGAGTTTATTGGATTTTTATAAGTCTCTTGAGTATAACATTCTCAGCCTTTCAGCCCCAGCGTCGAGCCTAGCCACCTTAGCCGCGAGTATAGCCCGAGTAGTAGCCTTCGCGCGCCTTCACATGTTCGAGCAAGGTTAGCTCGTGTTTATCATTTTTCCCAGCTTATTCATGATAAAATAAGAATTACCATGTTGAAAAATGATCCCATGCATGTTCATATGATGGAGTTCCGAATTTTTGAGCATTTAAGCCTTAATTTCGTAAGTTTATGTACATGCATGATATGGCCGAGATTAATAGCATAGAAATCCTGAAAAATCATGAGTATGACATGGTTAAAAGATTAGCATGCTTTGAGTTCATATGTTTGGTCAATTTGATAAGTGAAATCGAGCTATTTTTACCCCCGAACCTAAGTATATGTGCATGCATGTTATAGCCATTGTCCTAGCCTCATTAGTCATGATTTTTTATGTAGTTTATTCGGCCCTAAGTCAATTTGCATGTTAAGCATGTTCATTTTTGTGCCCTAGTGTGGCCTAGTGCCTAATCGGCCCTATAAGCCCATCTCCAAATCCAACCGAGGTCCCTCAGTGACTTTTGGCATTTTTGAGTATATTATGTCATATTAGGTTGATTTGGTTCAGTAGTCCCCGGCAAAGTTGCCGGAAGTTCGGCAAAAGACCGGCTAGGGTCACCAGCCGAGCCAGTCGCGCGTGCCGTGCCCGTGCCGCGTCACAGAGGCCAGGCAGTGCCTCTGCCCGTGCCCACGCCTAGCACTCGCGAGGCACCACAGTGATGAGGATGTGGTCATCGACCCATCCAAGCCCGAGGACGAGTCGCGCGAGGGCCCGAGATGAGTACCGAGACCGCGCTAAGAGAGCTCGAAGAGGCTATGAACATGAGACTTGGGCCGACGATGAGAGTGAGAAGATCGTACCGGGGAAAGTGGGCGAATGGTGTAAAGCATGCGCGAGAGATCAGCCCAAGCAACGCATGCGCGCTAAGGCCGAAGGAGCACGAGGGATGGATGAAGGGTGGAAAGCGTGCACATGGGGCGGCAGTGGCGCGGGTGCGAGAGTGGGTTGGAACGATGTGAGGGGCTCGACAAGCGGGTACGAACGAGGCGTGACGACTGAAGGGAATCCGCGCGACTTGAGGCGCAAGGCAGGAGACGCGTGCGACGCGTGGGGCGCGGGAGAAGGCCAAGACCTCAGAGGACAAGGATTAGCCGCGACGGCTAGGGTTCGGGTGAAGTGCCGCACAAGCAAGAACCCGAGATCCTTCTAGAAGGCCTAGGTCCGATTTTCCCTAGTAGCTTAGGAATCATAATTTGGTTAGGATATGAAATAAAAGGCATGTGCCTAAATAGTTTAGGTAAGTCTATATTTACTAGGTATTTACTTTCCTTAGGACTTTATTTGTTTACTTGCATTAGGAGTTCTTCTTTGACTAGGATTAGATCTAATTGGTATCTATAAATACCACCCATATGTCATTCGAAATTTATGATTGGAAAAGTAATAGAAAATCGTTCGTGAGAACAAAACCGTGTGTTTAGAATTCATGAGAGTTTTATCATACAATCGAGTTGGCAAGGCTAAGACCCGAACCATCTCAAAATCGTGAGAAGATAAGGCTAATAACCGAGTCGTCCACACCTATCGTCGAAGGATAAGCCGTTGCAAAGCTTAGTTCGAGACAAACGAGTTGGAAAAACACACGATCCTTCATCATTGGTGCTTTCATTGAGAGGTGTTGATCGTGTGTTTTGTTTAACCTTTTCTATCTTCTTCTTTTTTTGATTTTTCCCCTTTTTCCTTTCGTGAGTTTGGGTCGAGAGTTATTAAAAAAAAAAAAAAAAAAAAAGAGAGAAGCCATGGCAAACCGAGAGAGATTCGAGATGTTGGAGGAGAGCATGAGATCCCTTGGTGATGGACAACATGCGGCCAACGAGAATTTTGCGAAGTTGGAGCTCATGGTGCACGATCTTGCGGCACAACTTGCTCGAGCTACACGATGACCGCGAGGAAGTCATAGGTCGTGTTCGACCACAGCTCGATCGAGCAGCTCCGAGTCCCACCACGAGGACCATGATCGACG